CAGACAATAAAACTGGCTGTGGGATGTGGGGGGGGGGGGCACTCCAGGCAATACTGTGGGGAGCGATTACACCCTGGTCTGGGCAGTGCTGGAAGCTAGCTGCCTGCAGCCTTGCCCCTTCCAGCCTGCTCCCCATCTTGCTTAGGGTCCTGGCAAGACTGTCAACTCCCCTGGCTAGAGGGACAACATTTTCCCCCCAGGGTAGCAAAAAGGGTGACTCCATCATTACCTTTTAGTTTTCTTTGTTGATTGGTTTGTGGGAGCGATTACACCCTGGTCTGGGCAGTGCTGGAAGCTAGCTGCCTGCAGCCTTGCCCCTTCCAGCCTGCTCCCCATCTTGCTTAGGGTCCTGGCAAGACTGTCAACTCCCCTGGCTAGAGGGACAACATTTTCCCCCCAGGGTAGCAAAAAGGGTGACTCCATCATTACCTTTTAGTTTTCTTTGTTGATTGGTTTGTTTTCACCTCCTCCCTGCCCATCCCAAAGAGAGACCAGTATTGTGTGTAGGAAGAATATTAACTGATGGTGTGTTAGCATCTAATTGTGTTTAGAAGGGATTACCATGCAATCTAGATGCATCCCTCAATTTACCTAATTGTAAAGTACTGTCTTACTGGTCTATAATAAATACATTTTCTTTAATGATGATTCTGTAAATAATTTGGTAATGTATTAACTGTCTATTTTATGTTTTGTTTTAAAACAATTAAACAACTGGAACAGTGTGAACACCCATGACTTCATTATTCAACAGACACAAGCCCTTTGCAGACTAGAAAACTTGCTTCATTTTCTCTTGGTTCATGTAGTAGGACTGGTCTACGCTACTAAGTTAGGTTGTTGAAGGCTGTCTTGCTTACACCTCATTGCACACGTCTATGTTTCCCACCAGTGTAAGTGCCATGTTTCAGTGACCCAGTAAAATCACCTTCCTGAATAGCACTGAGCAGTGGTTAAGGAAGTGAGGATGATGCAGCATAAGCATAGACAGTGTTACTTATGTCAACCCTAACAGTCTCCAGCAGGTGTTCCACAATGCCCAACACTGACTATTCTGGCCACAGCTCTGAACTCCTCTGCTCAGAAGGTTATGGACACTAAAAGGCCTCCCTTCCCCTTTACTGCCCCAACATATTTTCAAAATGCCTAGTCTGATTGTCTAGCTTGATGAGCACCTAGCATCTATTGCTCTGTGTAACTGCCGCACTGACACCTACTCCAGTTACACTCTGGCCTTTGGCTTGAAGTGGATGGGAGATATTGGATCTCTTAGGTCTGCAGAGAGAAGAGGCTGTCCAGGAACAGCTAGAGACTAGCATCCATGAGCAGATTGCACAGGAAGTGCAGAGAAGATGTACAATGGGCCAGGAGCAGGACTACATGCAAGCAAAGAAATGGCAGCAGGCATAGCTGAAGCCCAGGGAGGTGAATAGTCAATCCAGGCCAAGCTGCAGACATGCTGTTTTTTTACTAAGAACAGTGAGGATGAGATGGAGGATCAAGAGTACGAAGATGGGAGACAAATGACTGGGAGATCCTGGTATGCCATGAGCCGGGACCTGTTTCAGACTTTAGTGCAATCTAGTCAGTCCTGACAGGCAAGCAAAGGTGAGCCTGCTGCAGGGGAAGGAACCTCAGATGAGTGTGTGATTGTATTTCCCTTACAACAATACACACACACTCAATAGGACACAGCTGACTTTGCATTAATTTACTCATACTAGCAGAGATAGCCACATCACGAGAGGTAGAGTCGTTACCTTCTTTTCATGCCTCCGTGGAGTTAGGCAGGGGAGGCTACGAGGAGCATTTTGTTTATGTTCCCTCTAATCAGAGTGGCAGTACAGTCCTGCAGCTGCTCAATGAGCCCCACCCAGCCAGGGGCTCAGGGCTCCACACTGGAGCTGCCTGGCTGGGGAGGGGCACTTTTCTCTCAACTACAGCAGCAGCTCCCTGCTAGGGACAGAGCAGCGAGTCTCTCCCAGCTGGTAGGGAAGGGACATGTCCCTAATTGACTGAGAGGGATGTGCTGCTCTATCCTCTGCAGAAAGCTGCTACTGTAGCTGAAGGAGAAGTGCCTCTTCCCTAGCCAGGCAGCTCTGGCTGGGCAGGGCTCATTAAGGAGCAGTGGGGCCGTGCTGCTGCTCAGCTTAGAGGGAACCTTAGTGCACAGGGATGTCCTTGAAATCCTCCTGAAAGATCTCAATGACTCGTTCATTACTATGCAATCCCCCCTTAATGTTTTAGGGGTGGCAGCCTTATTTCTTCCTCCATGGTAGGATACTTTCCCATGCCAGTCAGAGATCACTTCAGCTGACACCATTGCAGGAAACAGACTAGCAGCATATGTGCCCAGATGGTGTTGGGAGCCAGCAGGCACTGTGCTCCCTATGCTTTCGGTACCCTCAGGAGTGAGGTATCTGCTAAAATCACCACCACCGGTGGAAATTTGTGCCAGCATTCAGTGTCATGGCCCTATACTCTTAGTTTCATGCAACTGAGCCTTGTCATTTCCCCAGCCAGCACATTCCCCCTGGCTGGTTGCATGGGTGGGACAGTGCTGAGCATTCAGAAGCAGAAATGCCAATAAGCATCTTGTTTAAGCATTAGGAGAACACAGGAAGGGAGTTCTGAATCTTAACTTTTACTTTCCATTGGGACTATACAGACAGTGGTACCTTTGAGTTTCACCTGCAGCCTTTCATGGTAACCTTCCACACTGTGAAATGCCTGAGCTGGGGAAGAACAGAAAGGGCCAGGCCTATCAACAGGGGAGGGCAATTGCCCCAGGGCTCAGTGATTCATAAGGCCCCAGAGCTCCCAGCCACCATCACTGCTACTGCCACAACCAGAGCCCTGGAGCCCTTTAAATCACCACCAAAGTCTCAGGCGGCATGACTGGGAAGAAGGGTGCAGCACAGCTTGGGTAGCACTGAGAGGCTGACTGCTCCAGCCCAGTTCTGAATGAGGCCCCACCCCTTCTACTTGAGGCCCAGCCCATTTTAGGAGCATGGAACCGTCTCTCCCACAGCTGGCCCAGGGGCCTGGCATGTCTGTCAGCCCCTTTGGAAAGAAAATTGGGGGTGACGTGTGTGAGATAGTGTCAGTACCTTGCTGGTTGCTGTGCTTGGGCTGTGGATGACCCCTATTGGCCTCTGTCTGCAAGCACTGCCCAGTGGGGGGCATCTTGAGGGCCCCCATGACAGTGACCGAATCAGTTCTACCAGTTAAGGGAAGGGATGGAACAAAAGAAGTAAGTGTTAGGGAAAGGGTCAGTTGCTGGCTGGGTAACATGAAGGGAACAGCCTGAGCTGAGGGGCTAGGGGTAATGGACCCCTAACCCAAGGGGTCTGAGGCATCCTGGCCCTCACTCCTGTAACCACATCACATCTATGCTGTGCGGTATCCTGGAGAAGCAATAAACCCTCTATTCTATTGGCTGGCAGTGTGTTCTTGCTGCTACGGGGGTGCAGTGTCAGGGAAACCCCGATGCGTCGTCACAACATGATCAATGAGTGCAAACAACCGCTGCATCAGACTGTGAGAAATGGGTCTGGAGGATGAATGCTGCAGACAGCCTGGAGGGGAAAAGAACAGACAGGAGAGAGGCCCAGGAAAAGGAGAAGGAGATGCACCACGGCATATTGGGTCTTTTCCAGCAGCAAACACAATGCTGCAGACACTTGTGGACTGGCAGGTTCCAAAATTATGGACTCGCCTAGCTTGGCAGTCCATAGGGAACTTCAGTATAGCAACTCCCTACATCCCATCCAACACTCCACATAGCATCAGGGGCCATATCCCTCCTCCTGCCATTCCTGAGGGCATTAAGGACAACTACAATGTCATATACAGTAACTATGGTTTTCCCAGATCAGTGTACATGTAGATAAAATACTCTTTTTCCTTGTAAATTTGTTTGCTCCTTGTAAATTTCTGTTCCATTAGTTTATCAAATGTTTAACATATTTGCTTTGAAATTACGCAGATTTTTCTTTGCCCTGGTTTTGTTACGGAATGAAATTATATTATTTGGAAAATCATTCATTTTTATTAGTTTACAACATATGGTGCAGAGTGCTTAGCAGTTCTGAAAGCACCCTCTTGTAATTGTACAACGTGACATAACTCAGGATAGGTGAAAAAACTGTAATTATCATAAATGTACAGCAAGCATTACAAAATGAAAAAA